AAAAAAAAAAAAAAAAAAAAAAAAAAAAAAAAAAAAAAAAAAAAAAAAAGAAGAAAACCACTAGTTTTCACTAGTAAAACGGTGACACTCTTGTAAGATGCGTGTGAGAAGTGTCCCTTGCACTTTCTCGGGCCCCAAGAACACCTGAAAATCCTAGGCCTTGCAAAAGTAGGTAACATTAAGTGGGTCATTCCCCCTGACCATGCATACATGTTCACGCACACACACACACACACACACACACACACACTGAGGAGCTCATCTTTGCACAAACTCACACTTAATATCCCAAAGCAGAGTAATTGACACTGGAAACACCCAATTTGGACAAGTACCAATTTCACAATAAATAGCATATTTCATTTCACATCCACAGTGGCCATCAGAAAAATAATGCTGTTCAGAGAAAAATATTTTCAAGTTGATCGTGTGTTCTGTGTCCATTTCTGTCTTAACCCAAAAATCACCATCTTGTATGAACAGACACAGATATTTAACTAGCGAGAGATGCGTGGACTTTCCTTCCTACATGCAAATCCCTCCACTCCCCTCTCTCACACACCTGCCTACAGATGCACACATTAAATGCCTGATTTGCCTGTGCCAGCTAAGGGTCTGTGTGCACCTTTCTACTGAGACAGGAAACTGAGGCAGCCCGAGCTCCATTTAGACGGCCGACAGCAGAGTGCCACTGTGGGCTCGCACTGCCCCCAGGAGCCATCCCAACTGGGTCTGGCATTGGATGGCATCAGAGGCCCACACCTGGCATTGTAAGCAGTTAGGCTATGGGAGAGGTCACCCTGAATTTCAGTAGCCAGCAAACAAAACTGCCACCAGAAATGTGCTTTTCCTGGCATTTAAGTTCATGAATGAGGGAAACAACCCTTTTCCATTGTACCTGGAAAATACTGTTCCTAGGGAAAATTGCCCCAAAGTTGCCCATGCCAATTGATGAAGGAAACTTACATGTTAGATTCTGAGCTGTTTGTTGCTTTTGTGTGTTTTAAGTAAGAGATGCCCTCTTCTTGGGGGATAAGCTTTCACAACAGTGTGGTGGGACAGCTTTTCTCAACACACAATCGTAGAAACTGGAGCGGAGGAGAGAGACTCTTAGGTCATTTCTTCCCTGCCCCATTCTTGGAAGTTTGTTTCCTACAGCAAATTCTCCTGGTGCTTTGTCCAGCAAGGTTTAAATGATTGGAGTAATAGGGCTTCCAGTAGGGACCTGTGGTTATTTTACCCAGTTACCATGTTGCTTTCACTTTCTCTATAAACTGGATGGTCACAAAACTTGGGCCTGCAGGTAGGTGACTTTGGGTCATGAGGGGTTCTTGGGGGTTTTAAATAGTGTGAGTTCTGTTTGCAAAGATTTCGTGTAAATAGGTTGCTTAGCTGGTGAAAGGTATCGCCTCCAACAAACATCTAATCTGTTTCATTTCACATGTGAATCAGGTGAAAACTGACGAAAGATACTTTGTCCAAAGCACAGACGTCTCTCAAACATGGGAAACTGATGGCTGGTGTCCTGGTGAGACAGACATTTCTAAGAGACCCAACCCCTGCCATGACTATGTCACCCACGTTGTGTTTTTAAGTAGAAATAACCCCAAAAGGCAAAATTGTCTATCTTTGCTTTTCTCTCCTTCCTGCTTCTGTCCCAAAAGACCAGAGGTATAGCTGAAGTTGATCCTTAGTGCTAGTCATTTGTGTTTTCTATAGTAGTGGTGCTAGTAGTAGTAGTAATAATACTAGTTATTTTGTTGTTATTGTTCAAAATTTAGTGTCATATTTTCTTCCTATCCTCCTTCTCCAAAAAATAAAAATCACAGGAATCCTTAGATCATGAGCAGATAAGTTCTTGGGGTTAAGTCTTTGATATCACAAAATTTTATTTGATTTCAATTAAAAGCTCTGTGGAAATAAAGTTTGATGTCCTTAGTGTAGTGTCACGCAATGAAAAAACACTTTATATTAAAATAATGATAATCAACTCATGTACTCTCTCACTGTCTGGCAGGCACTGGTATTTATGGTGGCACTGTTTCAGCTCGGAGATTTTCAGACTAAAGAACTCCGCCTGGCACAACGGTCCCCAGTACTAGGAATGAGGGCAACAGACTGATATCAGGGACTTCAGGTTTCTTTCCATTAAAATCTCTCGGAAAAGCTAGGTGCTCTACATAATCTCTGCCATTTTAATTTCCAGAAACCAAAATATTTTTAATTTAGCTGACAAAGTTGCGAAGTATCCAACCACAATATTAATCAAACTGATCCTCCCACCCTTCCAGAAAAATGTATCCACATGTCATTAATTAGTTATTCTAGCTTCAAATTATTTGGTAAAATACTTTAGCCAGAATAAACCATTCCCATGTGGTTTGTTTTAAATTTATAAGGGAATCTCTAAAAAGTTAATTTTATTTTTTGATGTTATATTTTCATATTAATGGTAATTCCAATAATATTTGAAAATTCAGAATAGCATTTAGTATTGACTTACTAAAGAAACAGAATTTCAGTGTTCTTTTTTTTTTTATCAACTAACAACTTTATACAGTGTGAAAACTGGATAATTAAAAGCTTTGCAAGCAAGTAATTAGTCAAAATTGGTATCAGCAGCAACTATAATTTGTGTAGAAGTACATATAGCTTACATGTTAATGCAATATATATGTATTTCAAGTGTATTTGATAATGTGTATTTTTTCATATCTATAATGAACTGTATTTTCTTCTTTCCTTAGTCATAATTTATTAGGCAAAAATGACAGCTAAAGGAGACAGTTTCTTTTTAAAAATGATTACCAGTCATAGGAAATCTTACTATCAGAATTTAGCAATTTTTTCTAAATGGAAACTCTACTCAAAAAATGTGAAGGAATAGCAGGAAGAAAAAAGTAATAGATGTTTAAAAGTATTCTGCTAGAATATTTCTGTTTCTGCAGTATCTGGCTACAAACATGTCTTTGCCTTATTTTTAGTTTTCTGATAAGCATTGTTTTCTTCTTATCATTGCTTGCATGCTTTATTTGGGTTTGAGAGATTTTGTTTTTTCAATATTTTTCATTCGTCATGGCTTCACAAGCTGGCTAAAGACGAAGGAAGGCAAAATGTTTCATCTTTAAAATCTAGGTTCAGTTAACAATTACAAGGGTCAGGCACAGAGTCACTACCTGACATAACAATTGTAAATATCACACATAACAGGAACATTCGAATTTCACCCATGAGAGAACAGTGGTTCAAATTACTGAGCTAACATTAATAAGCATGTCCTGTCTTGGATCATAAATGAGGAACTCATCCATTAATAAGGAAAGAAAACAGAAAGTAGAAAATTACAGTCATAAATCCCCCCTCCTAAATACGAAGGCAGATTATTTTTGAAGGTATCTGACTGCAGCTCGCACACCTTTCATTTTTGTTGCCAAATGCGGCGCCTTACAAAAGAAACACTGTTCCGTCCAGAT